CTTTATGCATCTTAAATGTTTTAAGATGCATAAAGGCTGTAATACATGCTAAATCCAGTGTTGAGAGTGATGGCTGCCTTAGGAAGGGAGAGTTGTCAGCAGCAGTAAAGGAATACTTCTGTACTTTGAAAATGCTTGGGTTCTGTAATTCAGACTTCCTGTTGAATCCTTCAATTAATTTCTTGGGTGTCTCATCTCTGACATGAGTCAGCTCCGGCTTTCTTTGTTTTGAGATTTTTCAAATTTTTTTTAGATCATTTTACAAGTCCTCATTAAGTACTTCTTTCCCTTTGTGGTTATTTGGGGGTTTTTTAAATCATGTTTTGAAGTTGCAGACTTGTATCTTGCATTGATTTGTAGCTGTTACTTGTTGAATACAACATATTCTTGTTTAATGCAGATGTTAGGTTTGGGATGGCTGACGTAGATATCTATAAGGATACTTTGATTGCAGACCGGGTTTTCAAGCGGCTGAGAGATGTGAGAGGAAGATAATAGAGTCAATTCCCTGTTGTCTTTGGTAGGAGGTGTCTGGGAGTTCATCCCTCAGGTGACTGAGGCAATGGTAAATTGGGTACCACAGCCTTCTAGTGCCAACACAAGTGGACACCAGTGGGCAGAGCCTGGCAGGACTCACAGAATCACAGAATGATATGGGGTTGGAAGTGACCTCTGGAGACCATCTAGCCCAACCCCCTGCCAGAACACGTCCACCTACAGCAGGTTGCACAGGAACGTGTCCAGCTGGGGTTTGAGCATCTCCAGAGACGGAGACTCCACCACCTCTCTGGGCAGTCTGTTCTAGGACTCTGCCACCCTCACAGGAAAGAAGTTCCTCCTCATGTTTAGGTGGAACTTCCTGTGTTCAAGTTTGTGCCTGTTTCCTCTTGTCCTGTTCCTGGGCACCACTGAAAAAAGACTGGGTCCATCCTTCTGATACCCACTCTTTAAGTATTTATAAGCATAGACTCATTAGCTGGCAAGCCAGCATGCCATCCACATGGCCCTCAGCATGATGGTTTTCCTCTTCAGCAGGCTGTGTGGCCACTGGGAGCATGCTGCTCCTTGCCTGCCCGGATGAGCTGGGATTGCCATGGGGATCGTATGGGAGGGGTACTGCTGCCTTGCGATGGAAGATGTGGTGCTGGGAGAGGGATTGCTCTTGGGAAGGGAAAAGGTAAGGATATGGAGCTGAGGAAGGACAGGCAGAAGAAGTTAGGCAACCTGCTCCCACTAGACCAGGTTGCTCAAAGCCCCATCCAGCCTGGCCTTGAACCCCTCCAGGGATGGGGCAGCCACAGCTTCTCTGGGCAACCTGTTCCGGTGTCTCACCACCCTCACAGGGAAGAATTTCTTCCTGATAACCAATCTAAATCTCCCTTCTTTCAGGTTAAAACTGTTCCCCCTCATCCTGTTTGATCAAGAGTCCATCACCATCTCTCCTGTAGCCCCTTCAGGTACTGGAAGTCTGCTCTAAGGTCTCCTTGGAGCCTTCTCTTCTCCAGGCTGAACAATCCCAACTCTCTCAGCCTATCCTCATAGGAGATGTGCTTCTGCCCTCTGACCATCTTTGTGGCTCCAACAGGTCCATGCCCTTCTTCTGCTGAGCACTCCAGAGCTGGACACAGTACTCCAGGTGGGCTCTCACGAGAGCGCTGTATGGAAGCTTTGGTAGGACACAAAGTCGTGACTAATTATTTTGTCTGAGCAGAGCTGGCTCTGTACAGTTTACAAACTCATTTGCTGTACTCCAAGCCAAGGAGGTGCTAGTGCTCTTGAGTTGAAGAGGGCACATGGCTTCAGCAGTCCACTGGGTCTAGTGAGTGTGACAGGTCCAACCTGGGCCGTCAGCCTTCTCTCTCTGCCCGCCGTGTTCTAAACATACCCCAAGAAATGCTTCTGCTGACAGCCAACATGGGCTTGTGATGGATACCTGTCCTGGCTACAACGAGAATCTATATAAATGTTTCTCAGCTGAAACGCATAGACAGATGGATTTTAACTCCTGTAACCTGTTGTCCAGGCTGTAACTCCACCAGGTGTACCCACAAAGAAAATTGGATGGGTGAGCTCATTAACAGTTTTACTTTGTAACTAAAATGAGTTGCTGAGCGTTATTTCAGGAGTCAAGCTGGATGGTTGCTCTCTGCCAGAAGTTCTTCAAGTTGTCATGGGCTTCTCACTTTGCAGTTTTGCTCAAATTCGTTAAGAGCAAATTGTTTTTCTGTTGTCATACCTGTTTGCATCATATGTGCTTTATTGTGGTGGAGGTAATTCAGAGACAAAGTCTTTCCGTTATTCTAGATAAATGTGTAATTGTGTATCCTAGGTAATATGTGCAAAGATATGTACTGTATTACACATAAGCAAAATATGGTATGTATCATGCTTTAAAAACATGCCTGTAAGAGAGATCAATGACATTGATTCAAAACACACATGATTATCTATTGTGTCTGGAAATAAACACAACAGTGTTTAACCCAGTCGAATGCATTATAACTTATATATGTATATATTGCAATGTTAAACAAAGTGGTGAAGAAGAGAAAACTTCAGAACTTCCTCAGGTCTTTGCCATAGTTCAGATACCTTCATATAAAAAAAAAAAAAATATTGTTTATGAGACAGTCTTTCCCATAAAATACGGAAAAGATTTTTCTTAAATACTTGGCTCTGAGCTACAATTTGAGGGAAAGGCCAATGTAAACCAAAAAGCTCAGCCTGTAAATAAGCGACCTACATCGATGTCCAAAGAGTCTTGGAGGATGAGGGAGCTGTATCTTCTCTCATTAACCCTGTGGTTACCCGTCTGCACTCATTGAGTATTTGGAAGAAGTGGAACGTGTGCCTCCATCCTGTCTGGTGGCCACCTGGAGCCGGCGTGTCTGTCTGGGGGGTGTCATAGCGTTTGACTCAGTGACTGGTGGCTCTAAGCAGCCTCACGGAGGACCGGAGTCAATAAACTCATGTCCTCTGCTTGCTCGTGAATTTTACGTGTCAGAAAGCAGTCCCTAGATGTTTCCAGTTGTTTTGCTGCGTGTGTTCCTCAAAAAAAAATGCTTGATTAGATCAAGCACTTTGAATTTCCATCCTTTCTGCTGCTTTTTGCAGTAAGTCTCAAACCTTCATATGTCAGGAGAAGGCCTTTTCTTCTAGTCCTGCTGCAATTCATGCTTTTCTCTACCCTTTCTGTTGTTTCTGCCCTTCTCTGTGTTTTTTCCTTTGTCCTCTGCTAGCTTATTTCAGACTTCCCCATGCAGGTTTGCATTAACAAATACAAGAAGGCAGTTGGAGCATTATTTCTTCAGAGCAATCTCTTCGAGGATGTTCATATGTTCTCTTCATATGTTAAAATTGATCCTACTTAGTGTGTGCACGTGTGGCCAGTTGGTTATTTAGTTCTTGCTTTTGGCAGGACAGGTTTGGCTCTGTACTTCAGCATGTAAATAATATGAATTTGTTTGAATTCAAATTTCATTGTGTTAAAATCTTTCTGATATATAGCTATTAGCAAACATTTGTATTTAGTATTACTTTTTTGCTATGCTGCAGAAGTCGGGTTAAATGCAGCTTCGTATATCCTTCTGCCATTAACAAATTTGCGTGACCTCTTCTCTTGGCCTTCCTCCAGGTATGTGCAGTTTCAGAAATTGTTTAAACCTAAAAGTATCCCAAAATAGAGCTACTTTCTAGTTACTTGTCAACATGAAGTAGCAGAAGCAAATCCATGTGTTAGCAACACTAGCGTTGCTGTTTCTTGACTTTTGAATACTTTGCTGTGCAAACATTATTGCTATGGACATTGCACAAAACACACTTGAGATAAATCATGTGTGTTACAGTACACAAGGCTTAATAGATTACTTTTCCATTGCTTGTTTTCAAATTAAAAGCACCAGCTTCCTGTTTTTCTTGTCCTGAAGTCCTGTCTATCTGAGCTCTTCTAGCTTCTAAAATAGTAAAATGACTGAAAAGTGACTTCTGCTTAACCTTTGATTTTACAAACAATTGGTTGAGTCCTAAATAGATGAAACCAGTCTATTTTTAGGCCCTAATTTAGATAATTGATATTTCCACATTTGCTTTGTCATAGCTGGTAGTAGTTGCTAAATTGTGAAAGCTTGTAGCTATTACAAATGCTTGGAGGATTGCTGAGTGTTCTGCTGTAATGCATTAAGGAGCTCCATACACTGTACATTTCAATTTATAATAAGGGAGTCGAGCTGATAGTGCAGACACTGAAATATTTCAAGTCTAGACTAGCGTCTTAAAAACCGAAGGCTATTGTCTTTTTGTGGAATAAGCTGGAAAATAACTGATAAGGACAGCTGAAGTACAGCAGAGTTCGAAAAGTCACAAATTCTGTAAATCAGGGTGATTTTGGAGGTTTTGGCTGCTGCTTGCCTGCCCCGGTGTGATCAAAAGGGAACTGCTGTTTGAAACCAGTCCTGCAAGGTTTGAGTGGTTTCTGAAGTGGGTCATGCGCAGGCCCTCGTTAGATGGGGAAGGAAGATGAGTTTCTGCAATGTTGGGTTCAGCAAAAAGAAACAAAATGGAGAAACATAAAACCAAAATTCCCTGTCTTCAGAAAACGCAAACTTTAATAGTTTGCCAGTAACAGAGATAATAGCTGAAAAGTTTAATATAAATCTTTTTTAATATAAGCTCTTTTGTACCTTTGGATAATAAAAATAGCTTGCTGAAGATTTCAGAATGGAACTACTTATTGTAATAAGTGGAGGAAATTATGATGTAGCTGATACTTTTATGACCCCTTTAGTATCCTGATGCACTTTACAAATCACCATGTTTATAAAGTTGTTCTCTTACTGCTGCTTCTGAGCTGGAACATTTTGCATTTTGTTTGCATACACTGTCATTGTTTATTGTTAGCCATGGAAATAAAGGAGGAATATTACCTCAAACTGGACCTATGGACTTGAAGAATAATTACTTTCTGTTTCTCTCTCTAACGTAATGCCAACTTTCTCTTTCAGAGCCATGGTGTCATGGAAAGGGATATATTTCGTACTTGCACTATTCTTGGGAAGTTTTTTTGGAAGTATATTCATGCTTGGTCCTTTTCTACCTTTGATGTTCATCTCACCTGCCTGGTATCGTTGGATCACCGATTCCATTGTTGCCACTTGGCTCACACTCCCAGTGGTAAGTTGTGGTTTAAGTTCTGGGCAACTGTTCCTAATCCCACAATTTAGTTTTCTCACTAACGCTTTTGATTTTTTTTTTTTTTTTTTAAGGTTTTTATGCTTTTGTCAAAACAGGCCTTAACACACTATTTGTGGAGCCTTAAGTTTTAGCTCAGGGTTGCAGATCTTGGGCCCATCTACAGTCCCTCTCTTCTTCCACGGTTTAATTTATATGTAAGCTAATGCATTGGTTTACTGGACTCTTGAAAATACCTTCTGTGACATCTCCATCTAGTGCCAGTTAGATACTGATCAGAGAAGAGTAGGTGAAGCACTCGTAAGCAGGAGGATTTTTTTAAATTAAACTTGCTAAATGAGTTGTCTTATAAACTCTTCCTTTTGACTGTGCTCCAACTAAATAATTGCTTTTGTCAAAACAGGCCTTAACACACTATTTGTGGAGCCTTAAGTTTTAGCTCAGGGTTGCAGATCTTGGGCCCATCTACAGTCCCTCTCTTCTTCCACGGTTTAATTTATATGTAAGCTAATGCATTGGTTTACTGGACTCTTGAAAATACCTTCTGTGACATCTCCATCTAGTGCCAGTTAGATACTGATCAGAGAAGAGTAGGTGAAGCACTCGTAAGCAGGAGGATTTTTTTAAATTAAACTTGCTAAATGAGTTGTCTTATAAACTCTTCCTTTTGACTGTGCTCCAACTAAATAATTAGGGATATTATTCACTGTCTGGTGCATTGTTGCTGACCTTCACTATTCTCTTACTCAGTCTTCTTAGAGTTTAGTCCTTGTAGTTGAATTAGAGATAAATGATTTCAGATGAAAAAGAATAACTTTCCCTAGAATAGAAGTCTTCCTCACTTATAATGCATCAACTTTATAGCTATAGGAGTCTGGAAATCAATAACAAAGCTCTTCCCTGAATTGTTCCTGAGGAAAGGCAGTATGAATGGTATCTGTCTCTTCATCCATTCTCAAAAAAACAAGGGACTTTGTTCCTCTAGGCCTTTAAAGATTTGTTTAACTTTTTCTGAAGTAAAATGCTTTATTGGCGTGCAGAAATGTGTATCTTGTGGCATAAAGGAAGATTTATCTTTATTACATAACAAATAGTTGCAGCTTTCTCTGTTTCTGTCTTCTGTGTTTTAAAGGAGTGGGAGCTGTTTCACGTTCTAAAACTTTTGTCCTTTTCATCATTACTAAATGAGATGAAATTAGGAAGGAAAAAATAATTACCAGTAAAGGGAATAGAGGGATTGTTATTTCTTGTCATTATGAAGTTTAGCTGAGTACTGATAGTGTCACAAAATCGACCCTTTTTCTATTTATCTCCCAGTTTTTATAAAAAGGCAAACTCCCCCAAATCAAGTACTGGTCTTTTATTAGATTAGCTGTCTTGGCTTTATAATTCTGGATTAGTACACTATTTTGTGATAATTTACAGTCTAGAGGTTTGATTTCACTCCACACTGAACCTAAACTAAAATAATTTGAATATTTTTGTGAACAGGATTCTGTCTTAAAGGAATCTTGGGGATTTAGGTTCAGGAAAGGGTCTAAAAAAGATTTTGCACCCAACCATTTTGAGGCTCAAACCTTGTCTGCATTAGTTTTTTGTCCTTACACTTATCCATTGTTAATCAGGACAAGCAAGTACTTGGGTTTGTGTCTCCAAACAATAAACCTAATGTTGGACCAGTTGGTCTCCAGCAGGGAAGCTCTGTCCCTGACCTCTGTAGATATAAGAAACTTCCACCTTCCTCGCTCCTCTGACACATATTATTTCCTTTCTAGCAGGGTCAGCAGGATGGGACAGTGAGTGGGTCTTAACTCTTTCAGTTTAGTTTGGCTTATGCTAGCATTATGGTATGTAGAACAGGACATCTGTTCGTTATTCTGTTAAACTAGATGTTAAATATGTAAAAAGATTCTTATTAAACTATCAAAAAAGGCTGCTTCTCTCTTTTCTGAAAAGATAACAAGTTTACCATTTTGAGCTGTATGTCCTGTTGTGCTTTGGCCCATAGTTACTCTTGATGGTAAATACCTTTTGCTTTTCATTTGGAGATATCAAGCTGCTTGCATCTGTGAGAATGTCATTTCAGTTTTACAGTTGACATCAACTGAGAAATTTGTGTTCTTTGAGGTTCTGTGGTACAGAGGTGGCAGAGATGTGAATGGAACAGGAAGCTAGTTTACTTGCTAGAGCTCTGTTTAAATCCCCAGGCTTTGCTATTTTTCTATATTTTTCTGGAAGAAGAATGGGGAAGAGAAGGTAAGAAGGTAATTTGAAGTGCTTTTGGTTTTTTTTGTAAGCCCAGTTGTTAAGTTTATACCTCTAGATGTCCGATGTGTTTTGTGGTTCCTTTTTCTGTGCCGGGTTGGACAGTGTCCTGCCAGTGACCCTAACGTTAGGGCCTTAAGTTATATGTCTAGGGAATATCTGTTGTCTGCCTCCTATTTCTTGGGATTTTGTGCGTTTGCACTAGATATTAAAAGGTTGCAAGGCACTAGCATTCAGTCATCCATAGTTTTTAATTATTTGCTTTGTCTGTTGCTGTAACCAACCAGAGCTCTTCCGAACGTTTTCTTGCATGATTTGGGAGTGTCCAAGGATCAGAAACCATTTTCAATAGGTAGTTTGTATGTGGCCACCTTGTTTTGGTGGTTGAGAGATTTTTGTGGTGGAAACATGGATAGAGCGTCCTGTTGGGCTCGGTTATGTACAACTACTCTAGTTACATGGTTATGGTCCAGCTGTCCACGTTATGAAGCCAGGCCCTCTTAAACTTAGTGCATAGTTCTTGCCTGCTTTTTTTTCTTTTGATATACCACCAACCCATGGTTTATAACTTGACCCCTTAGAGCCACATTAGGGGGTAAAGCAAGAAACATGTTTTATATGTGAGCTTCTAGCACCGTTGGCTGTTGAGACAAAATGGAGAAAGCTGTTTGCCCGGCCTCTTGCTTGTGTCCTTCCAAGTTTGAGGCTTATTCCGTGCTTTGGGATGGCCGTTCCTCAATGACTGTGTGCCAGCGTTTTGGTGGTTGATGATTTTTGCAAATTGTGGGGTGGAGGCCCAGCCCCAGGCCTAGGCCTCGAGGTAGCACTGTGGAGTTGCGCAGGCCTAGGTCTGCATCTCTGTACTATATTCAACTTATTTGGGGTTTCTCTCCCTCAGCTCCTCTTTCTGCCATTAGGTTCTAGCCAATTTTGCAGGTGGAAGTCAAGCACAACCACATTGACCATTTGGACCCAAGCAGAAAGCCAGGCAGCTTCAATACCTTTCCAGCCCTGACAGCATGGAACAATAGATTATTTGCGTAGCTAATCTGTCCTTAGATTTTACCTACCACATTATAATCCATACTGATTGCCGTACTTTTATTCCTGCATGGTAGTATTCAGGGAAAAACAGGGGAAAAGTCAATTTAATGTTGGACATTGTAAAGGAGTGGCTTTCAGGAAGTGCTATTCAATTGTTGTTTCTTTTCCATTAAACAGCTGACTGTTACTGTGGAAAAGCTGGCTGCTTTATTGGAAAAGAGTCAGAAATTTGTTTACCAGTGGTAATATGTGTGAATAAGCGAAATGATATAATTCAAATTAATTTTTATTGCTAATGGGCTGATGCTTTTCTTCTGAGAGTAAAGCCATAATATTGAGATATTCTTTCTAGGCCTTGCTGGAGATGGTGTTTGGTGCCAAGGTGGTTGTCACTGGTGACGGATTTGTTCCTGGAGAAAGGAGTGTCATTATCATGAACCATCGCACCCGAATGGACTGGATGTTCCTGTGGAACTGCCTGCTGCGATACAGCTACCTCAGACTTGAAAAAATCTGTCTCAAATCCAGTCTCAAAAGCATTCCGGGATTTGGTAGGTCACTAAACCTTGTATTTTGAAAGGAAAATGCATTTAAATTTTGCACAGCACTGTACATACCCTGTTAAATGAACTACTTTTAAATTCTATTTCAGTATTTTTAAGAAAACTTGTGTAAAATATGGATATATTGAGCGATTAAACTATTAATCTCCTGAAGGACACCTGGATTACGTGCATAAGCATTTCTTTTAAAAGATACTACATGTGCTGCTGTTGCTTGTAGGTAAAAATATTTCTGCTTTACATACTGAAGAATTTTTCAAAATCATGAAAAAAGATTTTATGAGTCCTTTCCACATCTCTTTCAACACTTTGTTTTTGGTGCTATTTCACCCCACATTGCAAATGCTCTCATCAGGCTTCTTTCTTCATTATCCAATTTATACTATTGAGAAGATTAAAAAAAAAAAAGAAAGAAAGAAAAAGCCCTGTAGGCAGTTGCAAATTTGATGGTTCATTTTAATAACTGTAGTTTTAAATTGAACTTGGTTACGCAAAATATGCTGTACAGGATATGAAATGATCAGTATTTATAGTAATATAGGCTGGAAATGGATCCGAGTTGCCCATACTCAGAGAAATCATTTCAGATAGGCCGAAATTGTTGCACAAATGGTTTCTGAATAAATAGGCAGACTTATCTGAAATAAAAGCATCTCTTTGCATTTTATTTATCTCTTAGATTTATTTGCTGTTTTATACAAAACTAGCTTGGGCAGGATATGCGTCAGCTTTATGATGTCGAAAGAGTAACCTTATTTATGGTTCCCTTTTTGTCAGGCCATTTATCTTAACAGATAGTTTTGGCAGGATTCCATACGGAGGAACTCTCATACTCTTGCACTGTTACTGCATTCACTTGTTGGCCCTTTAGTCCTCTTAAGAGCTGCAACTTGGTAGCATACTTTTTTCCCTAGCAATCAAACATTGAGGTCAATTTTACCTGACAAAAGACATCTCTTTTAATGTTACAGGAAATAAGAAAATACTTATTTAGATAAAATTTTGATCTTTCTTAATACAGCAGAGATGTTTTGAAATCTTGGAATCAGCTCCAACTGCAACTTTTAAAGCAATGATGGAAGATGGAATCAGAAGTATGGTCTGAAAGATTCATAGGCTTATCTCTTCAAAAGTAACATATATATATATATATATATGGGGTTTTTTTGGTAACAAAACATTTGTATGTATGCTTGTTAATGCCTTTAATAAAATTGAAAGGTCTGCTCCATGAGCTTGGATGCCATGCTATGCTTGGCAAAATCTGGTTCCTGAAAGTGTCAGGAATTATTTAAAGGTTGCTTTTTTTTTAATTTTTTTTTATCTTTTTTCCCCCCAGTTCTCAGTTCTGTGCATAAACTGAACACATCTAATAGATTTGATGAGTAGGCTCAGGCAGATGGAGCTGTGGCAGGTCAGTGTAGCAGACCACGATGGTAGCTTAAGCTGCTAATGAAATTTTGGGCTCTTACTCTACTTTGTGGGCAGTGATGATAGAGGTGGCACAGGCAGACACTTACTCCTCTTGTTTGTGTTACAGGATGACAATTTCTGGCAGTGGATTTGGTACTGGTTCTCTAGTGTTATAAACCACTATTTATATGCCAGATCCATAAGTAGCCTCCACAATATACAGGCTTTTAGTACTTTGGTTGCAATGTTCTGAATTTTAGCTTATTTTTTAGTAGACTGTTAATGATGTATTATTAGTCACAGGAGAGGAATCCAGCTAAACTATGTCCTTCACTCAAGCCATAATTTGATAGTCTAAAATAATAAATGTTCAGCTTCTATTCTACCATAGCATTTCTGAAAAGACGCCTTAGAAATACACGTCTCGGTGTTCAGTCAGCCTGTGTTTTGGGTGGTAGATTCTTGCAAAAATGAAGTATTTTGTATAGCTACGTAGTTAGGGGACATTTGAAAGGGGAGACCCTTGGATGAAATTAAGACTGACAGAGGAAGATTTCATCACGGATCTGTATGAAGTTTGGTGAGGCAGTGATATAGCAGAAAGTGGTGTCCAAAGGGGACAACCCTGAATCCTGTTAGTAAAAGTAGAATTTCTCCTACTTGTCTCTGATAGCCCTGCTGTGTTATGTGCCAGACTTTTAATAGGTATTTGTCAATTTTTGGCTTTGTTTTTCTTAAATTGTGTCCAGTGCTTTCATGTGGAAGTTTTGTTTATTTTATGAGCTTGTAAAGGTAGGAAGATAACTTAGAAATCAACCAAACAGTTTCAATGCACTGCAGCTATAGTTGATGCTTCAGATGTTGGTCATTTAAGTTGCAATATTGGTGGAAATAAAACCGGCTACTTTCATCATGTCTTTCATCTTTTTATTTATCTATATGATTAGTTGTATATAGTCGAAAGTTATTATGGAAGTATTGATACATTGGCTAAATGCAACTTTTAATAAATCTTTACCTAATGGTAATGTTGCTGTGAGTTTGAGAAATATTTGAATGAATGTACTGTATTGTTTTCAGTGCATTTTTTTCTGGTCTTTCAGAGGATTTTTTTTTTTTTTTACAAGCATTTTTTTAAAATCATGTGTAAGATACAGTTCGTAATGCAACGCTTTAATTTCCATGTTGCTGAAAATCTTGCGAATACTAAGCAATGCATCTTTGTTGTTACAAGTACTATCCCAGTTGGGGTGTAAAAATAGGCCTATGAGAGCTTATGCTGATCCAAGTGGTATATTTGGTAGGTGAAGGGCAATGCTTGGGATGCAAAAAGAATCAGAGTCGTTGTTGCACCCTTTGTAGGTTAAAAGTATAAAGTTATCAGACTTAATGAGTATGTAGTACAAGTCGGCAGTAATTTTCTAGTTAATTATAATTAAAATCAGAGGAGTCAGTATTTCAAGCAGAAGCATTGAGTCACTTATCTAGTTCTTAAGTTATTAATTCTTTGCATTCCAATGTATGAAAAAATGTTAAATTGATTAAAGGTGAGCCTTAAGAAAAAGAAGCCCAAAGAAAAACAGATGGTCCTTTCTTCCTGGAACCATAGCTTTGGCTTGATAAATGGTGCGCAATAAAGTTTTCAAAAAAAAGTATTACATTTCAGTAATCTCAATTTCAGAAACATTCTTGCAACGTTTCAGTACTACTTGCCAAAGTCGGCGTCTCGGGGGAGCACGGCTCAGCTCTTAGCTGTTGCTGCAGTTTCTCATCTGACATCACCAGAAACTCCTGACACATTCTGCAGTGTCAGTTTTCAAGGAGAATTTCTAATGGCATCGACAGTTTCCTGCGTAATCTGACAAAACAGGACTTCTCTACAGTACTTGTGATAGATATGTACCGTTTATATTCTCACCCGTTCTTAATTAATAAGGAATAGCATCGGAAGTGATGCAGATGATGATGCAGTTGTGTTCAGCACATGCTGTGGAATACATTCTGTTTGAGTAGGTACCAGGGAACATATGTCATAGTGTCAGATGACCAGATAATCACTGGAAGTTAGTTGTATTCTTTTAATTTTTTTTATCTTAATAGTTTCATTTGTAAAAGTCTTGTTGTGATATGACCAGGAAGACTTCACTGGAAATAGAGTTGTATTTTAATGATGGGCAATTCGCATGTGTTTGTTGTTTTAAATAGGATTTTAATTATTGGTGGGCTTGCAGTAGTCTTTGGATGTAGTGGTTAAAAGTGCCTCAACGTCTACATGAAAAATAAATTAGAATTTGGCTTTAATTTGAGGAGTCTCAGAGATATTGATGGAAAATGTGAGAGGGTAACCAGAGGGGTTAGTGTCAGTGCATGACTGCTATGTGAGATAACATACACCCTGGTTTTTCTTAATGCAAGATGGAAAAGATAAATAATACCATGATTCACTGTTCACATGTAAAGTTTGCAGGTGCTGCAGGAACCATTGGTGGACATATCTTGAAGAGTTACCATTTTTAAGAGGGCTAACTGAGACTGATAAAGCAGGGAGTTGTAGCTGGAGCAGAGTAGGGCAGGAACAGGTTAGGAAAGAACAAGGTGATAAAGGAAAAAGCAGAGTAAGCAAAGCAGGGACACCTGGAGTAGTCAGGAGCAGAGATAACCATAAATCTTCCAGATCTTTATCTCGGTATTCAAGTTATTCTGTGGCTAGCATTGTTCTTGAAGAGACTGGAAGATGTAGGAGCTCTTTAGTTGTTTTTCACTCATCCGGTCACTCGTGTTGCAGCTCTCAAAGGCTCAAGTTAGGTTTGGCTCTTGGTGTGTTAAGTGCCAGGGGAAAATAAAAAAATAAAGGACTTGTGCTCTTTCAGCACTGGGTTTAGCCCCACCAATCTTCTCCTGCACGTCACTTGATCCATTATAGCTGTCCGTGTGTGTGAGCTTCGCCTGAAGCCAATTCAAAGTAATTTGAGTCATCTTAGTTTTCAATGAAGCAGGGCAAAACAACTCAAATTATCCTGCCTTTGCCACGGGCTGAGAGCGTGCACACCGACAGCGATGATGGATCAGCTACCATGAAGTAAAATATTGGTGTCGCTAAGCCTAGAAAATTTGAGCACTTAACTCAATTGGAGCATAGTTAAAGCTGGACGCTGTGGGGAATCTGGGTGCCTTTATATCAGTATGAAAGTGTTTGTGCTGCCACAGCCCCTTCCAAGGGTGGAGATATAAATACTTCAGCAGAAAGTGTCTGTCTTCGGGTTATAGCTGGATTTGCATCCAAATTCTTATCAATAGAGCTTATTGGTTTAAAAAATTAGACGTGTAACCGACTGAACTTTCTGCTGTAGTTTATGCCTCAAGTATCTTTGTTACGTTAAAATAGACTGAAACGAGAGTGTTGAGGAGCTGTGACATTTTGTCTTCTAGCAATTCAATTATGAGCTGCCAGACTTAATTACCTTGGAGTTGTTATCCTACGTGATTTTTAAAGTAGCAGTTGAAAAGTAGGCTCTCTAATGGAAAGCACAATTGTTATTCTACCAGTTGTTCACAGTCAAGACAGTTAACGCAGG